GCAAATGTTTATTTACTCATTCCTTTTGTCAGATGAGATTTATTTTGGAAATGTAAAAGCCAGCCTTCAACACTAAGATTACATTTTATTCGGTGACTGATTTTTCTAACATTTTTATCATTACTAGATTTTATTTTTAATCAGCATTTGTGCCATGGACAGCATTGTGTATTTCATACTTAAAAGTACAAATGTTCAGAAAGGGGCCACAAAAATTCTCCAAGATTTAAAAAAAAAAACCAACCCACCAGATTAGAATACCAAGTAAAAACAACTATCACAATACATCTCTGATCTTGTAGTCAGAGCAACACAGACCTTCTCCCTCCACACAAAACACATCAGCGCTCGTTAACAGTTTGCTGGCAACGTTTTTGGCATCCCAGATAGACTTCTTAATTTTATGTAAAGTAATCACTACAAATACAGTCCTTTTTTATCTTATTTTGTAAGCATTACTCCAAAATTGTAAACAGCTAAGCTAATTCCTGCTATTCCACAGAGCTCTTGGACTGGTTTATATACAAAACCTTGTTTTAATGATACTTCATTATAATAAGGACAAAAACATCTCATTTTGCAATCTCCATACTAAATTTCATGCATGCATAATTAAGGAATATTCTAAGATGAAAAACTACTCAGAGAGCATCCATTCTCGTAATTTGTGTCTTTCACCTTATACCACTAGGAAGCTTTTGCCTAAAACTTAGAGTGCACATACCGAAACTGGAATACAATTAACACACTATTATTCATGAGAAGATTATGTAAATTGTGAGTTAAGCAGGTTCAGGTTTTTTTACTGAAACACCCCTGGCATCCAGAAAGTACAGCGATGCTTCTGTAAGACCCCATACTTACTATCTGTTGCTATTGTAAGGCTCACCTTATTCCCCCACAGAAAGCTATCCACAAATTTTTGAAAAGGTGCATATTCCAAGCGTATCCCTTTAAATTTATTTTAAATAATTTATCTTACTATTTTTCCCCTTTGTCTAGGTTGTCTTTTCCCTCTCCCAATTAATTACTATGAACAGCATAGAATTGACTATCTCTACAACAAACACTCAATTTTTAGATCTTTTGATTTAAAAATCCTCTGGAGCCCTCCAGTACTCAAAACAGCACTTTATTTTAAATTCTTGACAAACATTTTTGTTCACAACTATTTCAGAAGCTGCTGGTGACACCAATTAAAAACAGCTTTCAAGGAAAAACGCTGCTATGATGCCCTCCCCCTCCCAAACCAGTCTTTTCCCACAAACCATTACCACCAGAAGAGCCAGTATTCCAGCTGTTATGGGGTTCCCTTGGGAGCCCAGATTGGTATGACTGAGCTGATGGAGTCTTCAGGTACTAAACCAGGGCTGTTCATGGCTTTTGAGCTTTGGGAATTCCAGAGGTGCAGTGGAGGAAGATGGAGTTTAGTTTCGCATGGGAACAGGATTAAAAGTAAGATAGGGGATGTCAGCAAAACAGAGTTCTTGTCCTCTCACTGCTCATACCACTAAGCAAACATTCCACCCACAGATCTTAAACAATTAGAAGAAAAAGCACAACCGAACTTTTGTCCAAGTTGAACTCGAGGTAAGTTAACAGTAAACAGCCTGTAGGATGAACAACATCAACAGCAGCACAGACAACTGTATATTTTATAAAAATTTTTTTAATCTCATAGATAAAAAAAAAAAGCTTTTTAGCGTGTCACTCGGCACATGAGTCAGTCAAAAATCACTGAATGCATTTGGACAAACACAAAGCTTCAAAAAAGCAGCAACAGATGAGGAAAACTACCAGGTCGAAACACAACTTTAGAATGTGAGATGAAGGTGGGGAAAAAAACCCCACACCTTTAGATCTGCCCCAGAAGAACACTGATAACCTGCATGAAGTTCATGCCTCCCATTTTGAACATACTAAAGTGACAGTAAATAGTATACATAACACTGATATTCTTCAGTCATTGACATGGCTATGAAGTAAGTAGATTCTTAAAAAGAATCCAGTCTACATACTGCATAGGGCTGTAGATTTTATGAACGGTACAAGTCAGGCAATATTGTAATTAAAAACAACAGAAGAAATAGAAAAGCAGACAGATTAAATGGCTTGACAGACACCATAGATAAGATCTGTGGACAAAAAGCAGAGTTACTGCTCAAATCCTAGCTCTGTGTTTAATAAATTCTCAACTGCATCATTTACATGTCCCTTCTGTCTCATTGTCAATATTTGTAAAAACATCAGTCTTTGCTGCTTAAAAAGGCTCTGAAATACATTTGGCTTACATAATGATGTTCTCTGTTGTTGGGGTTGTTTGGTTCCCCCCCCCCCGCCCCGAATTATAGAATGGTTTGGGTTAGAAGGGACCTTTAAAGGTCATCTAGTCCAACCCCCCTGCAATGAGCAAGGACATCTTCAACTAGATTTTTTTTTTTTAATTTAAACAGAAATTCAGCAATCTTATATTCAATTATATGAATTACTAACTCCAGAATACTCCTCTTTCAGTAACAAAGTCACTGTAAGGGTATAGCTGAAGAAGAATTTTAAGCAAGCATAAGCCTGACACTGCCTCTAACTGCTTCTTCACCGCATTTGGGGAGGCACATGGGGAACCAGATTGGAGAATTGCTCCAGCTAGAAACCAGCATAGCAAAATTATACCCATTATTTGAATCCACAGCATCTTCTTGACTTAGTTTACTGCTTGGCTGCCAAAAAAACTGTTTCTTCTGCCAAGGGATGTGCAAAACCAAGGACAAACGCAATAAAGAAAGGAACATCTCTTCCTGTGGCAGCAACAACTTATACCACTGTAAAGTATTTATGTAGCCATGGATTAAAAAAGGTATGGCATTCATTCCTGCCAAGACAACTCTTCCTCTGGCCGTGAACTAACCTGTTTGCTAAGTGATTCAGTCTTAAGAAACACTTTCTGTTATTTTTTTTTAATAAAACAATTTCACAGAACTTAAGTAGACAATGGGACTGTGCACAACTGAACTGGCAAACCCAAGGTCACCTCTTGAGTTCATTTTAAACCAAATCTACTACCAAAGTAACAGAACCAGTCTTGGAAAAGGCCTTAGTTCAAAGAGGATTCTCAAGGAAAGTTTTTCTAAAAGAAAAAACTCTATATATAAACACACACATGTATTTTTAATTTAGCTTTAGGTTTTAGAAAGCAATGTTGTTTTGCCCAGATTTTGTACCCTCCACTTCATCCCATCCTCTTTTTCCCCCCTCTTTCAGAGTCAATCCCAAAATATGAATGATACAAGTGGAGACACAAGAACAAGCACACTAAGGAGTCTGAAATGAAACATTTAATCTACTTTAATTTATTGTATTTTAATCACCAAAGGAACTAGTATATGTCAACTGCTGACAATGCACTGTAATTACTGCATCTAGCTATATAGATTTAGCATATTTATTTACTGTTACTCATAATGCCTTGTCTGTGGACATCTAAGTTATGTTGGCTTATAAGCAAAAAAGCAGGAGTGAAAAAAGTTTCCTCTAGAAATAAATAGTTACTACTGCACCCTGATCTAAGTTTTATAGTCCAGATGGCAGGTCATGACACCTCTTCAGGTTCAATTTATGCTCCTCAAAGCCTTAGAAATGTTGTTAGAGGCGCCAGGAATTTGCCTACACAGCCAACTCCAGCTCCAAAGATTACTGCTCTGGTTATGTGGAGACACCAATTTAAACTTGAGTACTTTTTAAGTGTAACTCTTGCTATAAAGTGTTTGTGGGCATTCCTCGCC